GCATTTAACTCTTCTGAAATAATAAGAGAGATGTTGTTTCTTTCACCGATGTATACCTTGTTATATACAATATCAAAATAAAGAAATGATATTTACCTACTGGGGAAACCCCCCAAAAAAAAAATAATAATAATAACAATAAAAATTTTTTAAAATAAACCCAACTTAATATCTAATACTTTCACTTATTTTGTATCAAAGTTATACATGTTGCTGAAATTCGTAGATCTTTGATACAATTTATGCAATTATTTGATGCAATTAATTGAGTCACTGTTAAAACATATAAATAATTAAATCATAACGCAATTATTTTTGAGAATTTTGAGAATTGAATCAACAGCAAAATAATTTACACCACATGTATAATCAAAATCTATACATCTTTATTTGATATTACATAATTAATAATAATAGACTTATTAATTATTATCTTTACAATAAAAAAAAAAATAAAAAAAGAGAAAATAAAAAAATATGAAAAGAGAAAAGTAAAAGAAAAAGAAAAGAAAGAGACAAATAAAATAAACAACTTAAAATTTCCTTAAAAAATAATTTTCAAATGCAAAAAGGAGAAGTGAAAAAAAATTTTTAATTAATTTTATTTTTAATTAAAATTTTAAATATGTATTTTATTATATATAATAAAATTTTTATAATTAATTTATTAACTATTTTTCTAAATTTATAAAATTTTCTGAATTCATTTTTCAAAATTATTAAATAATTTGTATTTACTGTATTCTCCTGGTTATAAGCACCCTTTTTTAGGGGTTTACATTAGATTTATTTTTGTGAAAAATGCTTATAATCATAAGAAATTATTTTTTTTAATAATTTGACCAATATAGATCCAATTTGGATAAAAAATATACCATTAAAAAGCTCTTATTGAGAGGAATCTAATGGTATAATTTTTATTAAAATCCAATTATTAGATACTGAAATATATTAATTTTTGTATTTTTTTTAAATAAAATTTTTTGTTTTTTTTTTAAAAAATTTTTTTAAAAATTATAGGGGTGCTTATAACCAGGAGAATACGGTATATTTTAATAATCTTCTTGATTTTAAAACTCTGAAAAAAGCATTATAATTCAAAAATTATTAATTTATAAAGATTCTACTGTAGTTAGGGATTGAAATCAGTGTTACCTGCCGATTCAATTAATAAAGTTGCCCGAAAAGGCACAAATGCAATTTCTTTGTTTGTACTGTGATCAGCAAGCATATAAACAATCGTGCATGTACCAAAGTTTTTTTTTTTTGACTCTCAAATAGAGATATTGCAAAACACTTAATTCTTCAAAACTCTGTAAACTCACCTTTACCCGTTACGCGATAAGACCCTAACAATATGCTATAATTAAAATGATTTGATTTTTTACTCATAAATATAAATAGATCACATGACCGGTTAATCAGTGATTCCAGATACAGAGAGACCTCCCTAAATGCACCCTCTATAAATGCACTTACTATATTTTCTCTCTCTAAATGCACGGTCAAGCTTGGTCCCAAGTACATAGAACTCTTAATAAAATTACCTCCATAAATGCACACCCTCTATAAATGCACATTTTTCAAAAATTTTCCTATGGTCCCGAGGGTGTGCATTTAGAGAGGGTTCACTGTAATATAATCCAAGTATTCTTAGAATGGATTGATTCAAATATATTGGTTTTAAAAAATATTAAAATCGATACAGTAATAACTATGTATAAATCACAAAATCAAAATATAAACAATAACCCAAACAATTGACCATCATAAAATACAAAATCAATGTGATGATACACATTCTAATTGCTCAATAAAATAAATATTAAATCCTATACGATTAATAGCTTTAGACGTAAACATTAAAAAAAACCAAGCATAAAATCATTTACTCCTAATAAAGCTAAGAGTGCGAGAATAGTCCATTATTATATGTCAAATAGTTTCTACAGCTCTAAATTAAAGGCAGCATTAACACTCTTCCCATTTTGATTCGTGCAATATGCTTTAATCTCTATTTGTCCGAAAGTCAATGTAAACCTCAATTTCCTGTTGAAGCCTAAGTAAGGGTCTGGGAAATCTAATATCAACTCTCCTAATCTTTCCATTCCCGGGTCATCGGGATATTTACCGTCTAATTCAGGAGTTTTGTATATTTTCATCGAGGCCGCAGTTTGATCTTCTATGCTAGGAAATAGGTCTTTACCAAATTCTTGATCAACGTCCACTACCGTACCCCTAGATACAAGTTTACTGAATATGTCAATACGGTTGTGAGAGATCCTACGTTCTGGTGGGTCACCGGGCTTCCATTGTGGAGACAATTCTATTCCATAAGTCCACTTAAGAACCCTGGTTTTGATGATCTTCATGTTTAGACCATATTCCACTCCACCTCTGTGATAATTAGACAAAATATCATTAATATTACTTCGCATTATCTAGGATTCATATATTACATAGAAAGGTTCACACCTGACAATAGCAGCTTGTGGCTGTGTTGGGACATTAATATTTTTAACTTGCGCACTAAATTCTTCTCTAATTCTCTTTAATAAGTACTTTGACTCACTAAAGCCACCAACTAAAAACATCGCGGAACAAGTTTTGCCATTGTTAAGCTGTCCAGAAATGAGTCTAATAATTTTTCCAACGACAGGATCAAAAAACGATTTTACAGTGTCAAAATCTAAATCAATAATCCATTCATCCTTTTCTAATTTTGATTTTGCTGCACCAGTAATGTATTGTTTTATAACCGGACACACATCCTCAAGATCCAGCTCAAATAGTTTAAAATCTTTTTTAACACCAGTAAATGGTATTTTCACTTTAGAACAAAACTCTTGTATCATATATTGCAACTGACCATAATTTTGTTCTTCTAATAAATTTATTGCAGAATCTCCAACTTTGCGTTTTAAGAATTTAATAAATTCTTTGTCTACGTATGTACCACCACAGAAATCTCCAGTACGTTCAGTGATTTCACCTAATCTCGACCCAGGTAGTAACTCCCGTGTGGTCAAGTCAACTGTACCTCCACCACAATCCACAATTAGAAAATTTGCTATAGATTTTGGATAGAAAGTTTGAAAAACCGTTAGCATATCTTCCTATATCATAGCTGTGTCTGAAAGAGAAAACACTTACTGCCGACATCGGTAAGAAAATGTTCTTTTAATACACTCCTGCAATGAATGGCTGCAGCCTCAGCTAATAAAAAGAAAAGGTTTTCAGAAACGCAACATACCAATAATTGCTTAATCATGATTTACATCATCACTCACGTTCCGTGGAAAACTGTAACCTTTCCGAATCTTTGGTTGAAATTAATTTTGCTTTAAAGGCACAATCTCTCAATATAGCATTTGCATGTTCATTGAATTCTGCAGGTACTGTCATGACTACTAATACTTGTTCCATAAAATTGATATTAGGCCAACGTTTCGACACTGTCTCTTTAATTAGCTGTTATAATGATTTAATAAAATCAATGACAATATCCTTTGACATACAACGCATTCATCATACCGTTAGAACTTGTATCTTACCTCACCTAAAGTTTAAATGAAATTTAATTAAACTTTTTGGCAATCAAGTGAATGTGAATTATAAACTAATGCACGGAATATTATGCATACCCATTTTTTCCAAATAATCTGCAATAGCTTTTTTAAAATCCAATCCTTTAGGCAACGGTGGCTTTTCATTGTCAGGTAAATTCCCCATATGTAATTTAAATAATTCAATAGGTTTTGAAGGAGCTTGTTGGCGAATTCTTCTAGAAGCCTTCTTTGCTAAAGCTGGGAATCCCCAGTCTTGGACTTCCGAGAATTTGGAATCGTTGTATTGAAGCACAGTATTAGTCTTTAATTGTCCAGTCACTCCGGGCTAAAGAAATATTATATTCCAGTAAAAAATCAAAAACGTTTGTATTTATGACAAAAATAATTCTATATTACACCTACCCAAACATTATTTGTTTCAATTTCCGGATTTTCTTTGTGACTAATGGCGAATCCCTATTAAAAAAGAGAGGTTAGTACAAATTATGTTGTTGAATGAACGAGTTACTTTAAGGCTTCTTACGGAGTAGGTGGTTCCAAAATCTATTTGGCGGAATTATGCGAAGAAATAAGTTCAGAACAAGCTTATTGAAACATACAATCGATCATGATAATACTCCATCTTCTTACCTATGGAAACTACAACGCGAATATCTTCCATGATCTCGTTTATGCGGTATATTCAACAGTTGATTTTTTCTCAAATTCCTTTTTATTATATAATAAAGTTATCACATTTCACAAGGCCCCCTCAATAGTCACAAATATTCGGAGTAGTGCGATTAATTCCTTTTTTTCCATTTTTCCATTTTATGCACACGACAAAGTGGTCTGCTCTTTGTTTGACTTTAAATGTTTAGATCTGAAACCAAAAATTGTACATTATATATATATATAGTATATACTTTGTTTAATATGAAACTTTAAATTAATTAATCTTTTTTTTCTATAAATTTACATATATTAATTTGTGCAGATATAAATCGTGTATGAAAAAATAACTTGATTAATAAAAATTGTTTTTTATCATGTAAAAATCAATCAATTCCTATGTTTTTATTAATTAAAAAAAAATTATCAATTTAAAATTTTTATCTTACAAATTATATATTGAAATAATTGTAAATAATTTATTTGTTTATTATAATTTAATTCTTTAAAAAAAAATTTTTTTTTTTGAAGGAACAGGTAGTCCTCATGCACTATTAATTATAATTTTAGACTTGTAGTTACAAGATTTATACATCTACCTAAGCTTCTTAATATCTTGAATGACATCTAGCTATCTAGAAAATTTGATTATATAATTATATAAAAATGCTGTAGTCACTATATACAAGTTGACCTTCAAGTTATAATTAAGATTGATACACTTGTTTTTCAAATATAATTTGATATATGATAAGTAAGGCAAGAGTTGGTTTCAAACTATATTAAATTCAAACTATATTAAAATAAAATCAATCTTTTATTATTTGTATTTAATATTGATTCTCTATTCAAATTCATTACTAAAACTAAAGATTGAAGAGCAGCAATTGTTTTTATTATCAAAACAACTTTTTGATAATATTAATCTTTTATTATTTATATTTAATATAGATATTCCATTTTGAAATTCATTACTAGGACTATAGATTAAGAAACATTAATTAATTTTATTATTAGAATAGCTTTAGAAAATAGATTTTGATTTTAGGATAAGTTAAAACTAATAAATGTAAAAAGAGTTTAATTATAAAGTAGTAATTTATTAAGAAGGATATTGAATATATAATAGAGTTACTTAAAGATACTAATATCTAATCTTATATAATAAACCTATATTGTTAGAAAGGTAAACAAGAGCATTTATTATTATCATCAATTTATATTGCAAGAGTAATTAGAATTCCTAATATTTACATATTATCTTACTAAATTTTCTAATTATTAACATAATATCTGCAAATTAATCTAACTTATTGTTAGTTACATTGATATTGATTACTATATTATTTTGAATACAGTAGAATATAGCTTTTTAAATATTTTTAAATAATAGTAGTTGTATATCAGTTTTTTAGATATATCTAATCTAACTATTAACAAATAAATAACATCAAATTTGATAATAATAACTATATTAATTTTTTGAAAATAGTAAATTATCTATTTTTTTTCTATAAGACCATAAAAAAGAGAAAATTTTTGAAGCCCATGTCTTGAGAAAAGTTATTAATTCTTAATATAATTCTTGAGAAAAAAAAGTTAATTAATCAGAGAGTAATATTATAAAGAGTGAAGTTTATAAAAAAAAGTCTAGAAAAAACTCTTTCCCACAACATCTCCATCCGTAGAAAATTGCCTTCTTAGGAAGCTTCTTTCTTCCAAGAAACTTTGTCTAGCGGAATATGTTCTTTTGGTGGGAGACATAAACCGGAGGACTGATTTAGAGCAGTGGGGGTTTCAAGGATAAGATTGGCCCCTGGGGTTTCTAGCAATAGAGCCTGCACTAAGAGGTCTAGTGACTGGTAACGGCACTGG